TGGGAGCAAGCTAACTGCAGCCAGTGCCAGAACGAGAATGACTGGGCTCTTGCAATTTGTGGCCGTACAACATCCGTTCTGCATAAAAAAGTAATCTACATTTAATTATTATCGTTAATATTAGTAATTGTGAGTAATTTCTATAAAACAATTTCAGTGTTGGGGCAACAACAGCAACAACGCTCAGTGTTCATTTCGAATGACGTTTCAGTTGTCTCGACGGTCGGCCAAGTAACAAAACGCTGTGCTATGACAACAGTGGTGGTGAGCGACGGATACTTGCGAAGCATCAACTGGCGCGACAGCAGCCGCAGCAAGCCAAGAAATGCTGTTAAATTGCCCTTGGGCGATATTTATGTTGTTGCTGCCAGTTTGGGCAGCTTCACCGCACCGCACCACTGTTGCTGTCGGTGCTGTTATATTACTTGTGGCACATTTACTTCCTCCCCACTGTTTGTTGTGCACATTTCTTTTCCTAGCAAAGCCGTAAGACTCGTACTCGCTCAAACAATCTGCCAGCCAGCCAGCCAGGCACTGGTTCACCTCTCCAACTAAGCAATTTTTATAAAATGTTGTATTTTTCAATGTTGTTGCAGCGATAGAGGCGGCAACATCTGCGGCATTGTCGTTATTTCTGCTGTTGTTGTTGGTGCTGTTGTTTCTGCTGTTATTGTTGATGATGATGCCATGCAGTCACCCAATACAGCTACTGTTGTTTATAATGACAATGATTATGAAGAAAATAATTAAAAGCCTCCAGCCAAACAGAAAAAAAAAATACTTTTTTAGTATTTTAGATATACTCGTTGGATAGATGGATGAATGGATGGATGGCTGTGTGCTTGGTTGGATGAATGTATTCTTTACTTTTTACAAAGAGAGTAATGTTCGAGACTAGCCCAAAGCCAGTATAGTGATGAGCAATTCGTTGACTACAAATAAAAGGGTTATCAATAAAGTGAGTAGTGAACACAGGGGTAATCGCATGGATATAATATAATTGCCAATATTAAAGTTTAAAATATATCACTTAGAACATTGGATATTTTCTCCAGATAAATAAATTATATTGATTTCGAATGTCTGAAGCAAACAACAATTAGATACTCTCGAGAACAAATTTATACATAACTAGGCTCTGAGACGGGATAAAGAAAGGTGTGTGTTTGTAGGAAATTCGTACAAAGAGGTATATCTGATGTATACACAACATGGTTTGTACTGACATACACAGAGCCAATCGGCCATGAGTTTTATGGCCACATTGGCTGAGCATGTATGGCGGGGTCTCTATATGGGACTATATCTGCCGGTAGGCTATTTAACATCTGAGACCCTAAAGTGTTAAATTGGTGTATTTTCGGCAGGATAATTTGAGGTCAAGTTGCCCCTATTTTGTTACAAATTACGTCAAAAACCTGCAATTTACTGAAAAAAAGAGTACAGTCGACGCTCAGTATAACGAATACACATTTTAACGAATTCGGGATATAACGAATGACCAAAATATTTGCATTTTTACACTGACTATAAACCACCAATAAATCATGATCCCTCAATTCGTCAGCTTATCGCCAGTTTCATTTCATACTTTGCATTTTCCAGAGGCAGTAAGTAATCAGTATTCGGTTCAAATTGTTGCGTGTCTAGTGTCCGTGTTTGTAATTAAATAAGCCCAAAAATGATATAAATCATCATGGACATTCAAGTTTCCTCCAGTTGCTTACCTTTCCATCTAGCATTACAACAAACCCTACCCCATAATACAACTACAGCCAGCGAAATATCTTCAACGTCATCACCATCATCAACATCAGCAGCGTTTAACCTGCGGGCACTACATTGCTGAAACGTTCACTCTGTCCCTCACAATTTCCCCTCTACGACATTTTGCCAACGCTTTCTGCTGCTCGCTATCATAAGCAACATATTTGAACTGCCCCGGGCTAGGCAAAGAAGAACTTGTGATAACTTAGCCTGCGGCAATATTTCAAACAAAACTGCCGACAGGCAAACAGATGTAATTATATAACATAGAACGAATGGAAGAGCGAACGCAAACACTCACACACACAAACCTACATGGGCTTCGACAAAGCTAGCCGAGGCAGAATATCGCAAATAAAGGAAGACGAATAAACACACAAGTATGAATCGACCTACCAACCCAACCCAGCCCAGCCGAACGAACACGCACACCACTGGCAGCAGCAACCCATTCCAATGTCTTTGGCAACAAACCAATTTTTCATTTACCTTCTTCATTCACATCATTGTCGTCGTTCGTCGTCATTATCAGTATCAGTATCAGCATCAACGACATGAATAACCATCACCAACACCAATGTCAGTCATATCGTCAACAATATCACCACCAGCACCACCTCCACACCATCATTCGGCTATTGAAATGGCAGCAATAGACAGCGACGACAATGGCAACGGCGGCCAGAACAACTCGATATTTTAAAAGCAAAGGAGTGATTGCTTGGCTAGCGGAAGGGGTGGATAATGTTGTCGATGGTGATGCTGTTGCTGTTGCTCCTCACCCATACGATGGTTATGGAAAAAAAATAACAAACTGTGTGCAGTTTAACCCCTTCTCTTCCCACCACCACCATCGCCTGGCTGACTGGCAACGAAATGATGAACGAAACAAAAAGGTGCCCGCCGGTGATAATTTCATTCACATTTAAAACTATCTCTGAAGCTTATTTTAAATAAATTGTTAGCAGGCAAGCAGCAGCATCAACCAGCCATGCAATGGCACCGTCGTCCTCATCGACAGTTACGACAAGGTGGCCGTTGTTTATGATTTCAGTGGTGTTTTTGTGAAAATCTCAGCGTGTTCCGTGGTGACTTCAAGAGCCAGCTAATGTTCGGACAAAATGACTATATAATTGGTACATTATATACGTTTATATACATCAACATGATATGCTGTTGACCGTGTCTATGACTATCCAAATGTGGACCTGGATATCGGCTTAAATCTTTGATTGCACAATTAACGCTGCATTCTTTATTTTTTGAGGGGGTGCTCGAAAGTTTTCAAAAAATGCCAATGTGTGTGAATAAAAGAAATAACAAGTTAACAATCGGGCACTAGCACCCATACATGAGCCACATTGCTTTATAAAAATGTTAGTAGAGTCGAGTACATTTATAACGAACTTTTCTTACAGCACATCCAGTAGTTTTAAGACATATTTTTCATACAAATCTTTACATTTAAAGCGGACTACAGATATAGCGAACTTTTCTTATAACGAACTATTTTTTTCGGTCCCAATGTTCATCTTTTTTATTTGGTTATAACGAACATGCTATAAATATGCTTAAAACTTAACGATGACAGTCCTCACAAAATGTCATTCTGAAACTAAGGCTGGCAATCTTTATCAAACAATTTCAGTTTTTAATGTGATTACATCTAATGTAATAAAAGTGTCTTTATTAAATAAATCTATTTGTTTAATTTTTAATACAACTGAATGTAATTTTCCTGATGAGCCTTTGTTTTGCTTGCCTTGGACATAACGCACTTCCTCTATAACGAACTAATTTTCTTGGTCCCTAAAAGTTCGCTATAACCGTACTTGACTGTAGTAAGATTTAATATTAGCCGATTTAAAATTAATTTTGTTCCTTAGGTGGAATTTCATAAATCATTTGCGGGCCTGGACATCTCCTCCTATAATTATTTTTATTACTGTTGCAAATAAAAATAAAATGTATCCAATGTATCATTTCGGTTTACTGTGCTTTGGTACTTGTGTTCGACAAACACTCGCCCGCACACACACACACACACACATACTAAAACACACACGCCACTACTACTCAAATAAGGCTCATACAAATCCATATAATTCTTTTTAATAAAAATTGCTTTAGGAATTAGTGGAATTGTTTTAAGATATGAACAAGCGCAACACAAAACAGCAACAACAAAAACACACTGTAGGTATATGAAACACATTTTTAGTGGCCGCGGGCCATACATACAAAAAATTCATATTCAATATAAAAACACAACAATTTTAAAAATTCAAAATATTTCAAATTAATAAAAGTGAGGGGGCATTTATGTGAGTGTTTTTCTGTGTTTTCTTTACTTGCAGCTAGAAAAAGAGCAACAGAATAAAAACGCATTTGCCAACACTACCGATGAAGAGGCGACACAGCCCATAGAGAGTCTACAACAAAAAACCCATAGTCAGCTTAGCTGAAGTGAAGAGGTGAATTGTGTGGTCGACTATCTTCGTCAGCTACCACCATACAAACACAGATGACCATCGAGTTGAATGGGAGTTAATTGTTTTGGCCATTCGCTTTCTGCTCTTCGTCCGTAATCGTTGGTGGCTCAATTAGCGGCAACACTTAAACCGGAAATAGATTATTGCCACGATAGCGGCAGTAACAACAAAGATAAAGAGAAGCAATCGCATGGTACTCCACAACGTCCAGACAACGTGCTGAAACAAATACGCGCGCAAAATTCTTTAATAAAAAACAACAACAGGAAAAAAACACCCATTAACTGGTAACAAGAGCCACAACAACGACACCAGCTACGAACAAAACGACCAGCAAGCAATAGCTGAAGCTGGTAGGAGACGTTCGTCAATGTTAGCTGGAGAAGGAGGAGGAGATTAATGGTGCAGGATGAAGAGATAATGTGCCAAGGTCGTCATTGTGGGTATGATTATTACCTCTGCTGCTGATGCTGCTGCAACTGGCTCTCCTGTTGAAACAGATGTAAGCAACAACAGCCAAGAAGAAACACAACATCGACACCATATCATCAACAATTAGCATCCAGCCATCAAACAAGGTGGCAAGTTGTAAAACAACTTCAACTAAAGACAGAGCGCAGTCTCAGTAGTGTGTGGCACACTCACTCGTTCTCTCTCAAAGTATCAGCCAGAACACCCAAACAAGTTTGAGCAGAGGCTGAGGTTGCGTTCGTCACAATACGTTCGTTGTCGTTGGACCGAAGCATATTCAACATTTTTAACAGCACATTCAGTTCGAAACGGACCTTCAGCGCGAATGCAAGTCAGGTAATTGTTCTAACGGTAAATTGTACAACACACACATCACAAGTTTGTTGTGGTTGAGAAGTTCTTTGCTTTTGGTCAAGAAAACAATTCCCTCACACACACACACAGCGAGAGACTCTAACAATCCAACGTTGTGTCTGTGGCCGACTGCATGAATGTTGGTTGGAACGGAAACGGAAGTGAACAATTCCGACCATTGATTTTTGCACTTCTTCGTCGTCGCACACACAATAATAAAAACGCGCCCGCACCACCCCCTACACTCATACCCGCACAAACAGATTTGAATGAAATGTGTTGCATTTGAGTTTCGAACGGTTCTTGTGTTTGGCGCCTCCATCGCAGTGGTTGTTATCGGCATCCTCATTGTTATCTTCGTACCGTCGATGTCTTCAAAACGAAACGAAATTTTATGTGAAATGTGAATTGTTCGTTAAATATAAAATCGAGTGCTTAGACTATTGAACTTGTTAGTTGTTAATCAGTTCTTGTTGCCAACAAAACATTGAACACTACTACACCGACGACGTCACTTGTTCTAGCCGTTCCGCATAGAAAACCGCTTATTATTGTTGTTTATTATTAAATAGTATCACAGTCAACAGCAACAACCACAACAGCAAAAAACAATTTGTTGCTGCTTTTAAGAAAGAAGAATAACAAGAAATCATCTAAAGTGCATTTGTTAAATCTATTGTGAGTTATTCCAAAACAAAAAAAAAAAAAAATAAACAAAAAATAAACAAAAATAAAAGTGACACTACAAACAATAATATTGAAATGGAAAATATTCAAAATTATAAACTATAATATTAAATAAAAGTGGATTTGGCGAAAACATATCATAAAGAAGAATATTTTTAATGTGAAAACAACAATACTGGACAACAACAATAATAATAATTTTAATTGTATCACAAATATTTGATTATTTTCCAGGAGTTCATTAAGTTTTAGCATTAGTATAGGTATTTTCGCTAAGATTTCTGTGATAATTTCCACATTAGGTCGTTTTTCAGTTTATGTGCATTCAACAGTATTCCTTAGATCTTGGAAACTTTTCCAAAAGCATTTGGCGCCACTATCCTTTTCAAAGAAGCCCAAAAATGCCAACATAGCTGTTAGAAAACAATAGTTATATTAACAGAATTGTTCGATTACCCTCGTAGCTTTAGATAATTATTTAAACATTTAAATTATTTATTAAAAAAGTTGAATTTATTGGAAAAGGAACATGCAAGGCATAATTATGAAAGGTAGTGCCATTTGAGAAATTGATATTATCAGCCCTTATTAATTTATAAACCCATCTATAAATTTCAAATAATATGAAAAATAAATTCCATCAATTTAATTTACGTCTATTGGCATATTTATTAGCAAATTTAAAAATGTATTTTTTTAAGCTTTTATGTATTTTATGATGGACAAATCTGAAGATATAGCTATTGGTATTTATAGATTAAAGAGGCAGGGAAATTCAAAATATGAAACAATATTGGTAATTTTTGTCAATGGTAACATGTTGTGCTTAGATTTCGAAGGACGATATTCTCGTGTAAATTTTGAAAGATGAATGCCGTCAAAATAAAATTATGAAAAATTGGATTTTTATGCCATTGGAACATGAGATTGCGCAATTTGTTTGTTGTTTTCTATGTCCCGAAAGCATACTACACAACAATATTTTTTAGGGGATTTTTTTTTCACTGAATTACTATAAAATCCGAATTACGGTATATGTATATTTTCTTGTCATCACAGCATTAAAATAAAAATTACTATTAAATATTTATATATATATGCAGAAAATAAAATCCATTGAGTAAAGTAAGTAAAGTAAACGAATTTTGATTGGAACTTTAATAAGTCGAAATTGCTTATAACTACGTTACCAAGAACGGTAGAGGGACCGACGAAAACATAAATGGCAGAATGTTTTCGGGACTTTTAGATACCGATATGTCGATAAAAATAGTCGCATTTCCAAAAGAAATCGATGGATAGAATTCCTTATATGGTTATAGATATTTTTAAGATCTACCAGAACTCCTTGGCATCTAAGGGTTGTATACTATTTTTAAAATTATGAAATTGAAATTATGTGTTTAAAAAATAAACATTTTTAATCATTCATACCCAAAACCAAAAAAAAACGAAAACGAAATGCTTATAACTTGACGTTATTATTTACTATTCAGTGTAGACATCTTATTGTGAATCGGTCTTGGTATGGAAAGCTGAGATATTTTACGATTTTTACAATTAAAGACATTTCGGGGGATACAATTGCTTACAATAACTCAAAAAAAAAAACACACACACACACAAATAAATTCTCATAAATACTCTTATGAGAATCTCATCAAAATATAATACATGGATACAAGGTTGCAAAAAAAAAAAAATAACCATAATATATATTAAAAATTGAATAATAATTTTTTTCCCCTTTAACATGGGAAAGAGAAAATTTGCCCACCCACTCAAATAAGAACATCTTTATTTAAATTCCTATATTAAAAAAGCCTACAAATGATCAAAATAATACATCTATTCTCACAGCAGGCGTTCTATTTTTTCTTTCAGAACGTCATTTGTGGCATTGGATCAAAGATCATCTTTGACAGTGGAGTCTTCTTGTCCAAAAAGGTAAGATTTATCTTAACTCAGTATCGGCTGCTAAATTTATTTAGAAGAGTTAAGTTTCCATTGCAGATATTTCGAAATACGGCTATAAAACATTTTATGACACTCAAGATATTATTCATCAGATTTCAACAAATCTGATAAATCAAAATTGTATACATACTCTATATTAGGACATTATATATTTCAATGTGTATTTAAGAAAAGTTGTATCTCATTGTTGTCGGCTATTCTAAGTTATTTTTCAGAAGGCATTACTGCAGTCAAAACGAATAAGGAATATTTGTATAAAACATATTCTCCTTCTATGTCGAGACCTTGTGCATCTTGTTCGTCCTTGATCTCTTGAACCGTAAACTGAATACTACAAGAAGAGATTTATTAAACTCATTATGCCTACGTTTTTAGTCCACTTGTTCCTTGCTCCTTGTTCATGAAACGTTTGATCTATGCACACACTTATAATTGTCATATATATTGTAAATTATGAAGAGTTGTCGGACTCATGACCAATATTTATCATAAAAAATCTCCAGTAGCCACAAACAATTGAATCAATTTCGATTTATTTTTTTGATTTATATTTAACTCTCTTGTCTGTGGTTTTATTAACACCATATCTACTACCCACTTCAGAAACACACCCCTTATATCGTTCACTTGCCAAGAGATGAACGAGTTCGATTTAGGCATGTAATTAATTGTCAAATTTTCTGCAACCGTTGATTTTGGATTTGCGTTAAAGGGCAACAACTGTGCATCTTATTTGCGATGACCGTGAGGTTATCACACACGCACGCACACACACGTGTCTACACTTATATTTGTATGTGACTTTTTTGTTCCTTTTGCCAAATTATACTGTCATTGTCAGCCAACTGGATTCAAACATGCCGAAATGAATACACACACAGAAACACACGCAGAATGGCAGCCACGCATTTGATGATATCACCCACAGTTTATCTGACCACTACTTATGAGCAATGAATGGCTGCAGCCACTATGCATGTTGACAGTAAATAGCCATCTTACGGCAAAGTCACGTCGCGGAAATGCAAAATATACGCTCAAGGCATTCGTATGACAGCAAAATCTAACCGAAATTCGTTAAAACGCCATTCACTGCCTACAACGGTGTGCAGTTATCCGAGCAAAGCTTGTTATTGGTCAGCCAGTACGTTGTCGTTGTCATGTGATACGCTAACTAGAAACGCTTTGATGAGCAATGATGGCCACCTCAATGTCTGTGTGTTTGTATGGGCACGGTGTGTGTGTGTGCGTGTGTTGGAGTAGTCATTATGAGTCCAAGGAGTCCGCTACCTCATCATTTAAACTGATTACCTGACAATGTAAACAACTGATGGAAATACAATATTATCCCTGCGAGGATTCAGGATATCATTATGAAAGGATTTTGCTTGGTAACCATAAAGAGGATATTAACCGAGCAATTATAATTAAACAAATAGTTGTAATGTGTGTAAATCTAAAATGTGTGTAAATCAAAATGAAAATAAAACAAATGGAAATCCTAATTTGGTGACTTTGTCGATAGCAACAAGTCGATTAGAAAGGACAGGAGTTTCTAAGTCCTATCTCGATTAAAAACATATCGCTGAATTTACATGTAAAGGCAATAACTCCATATTTCACAATTTTAGAAAAAAAAAAAACAAAAACAGCCAGCGACATGTGATAAATTGGACTTTGTGCCTTTTCTCATCACTACAAAACAACAAATGAGATAATTGTAGATTTCAATTTCTACAAAAAATGGACTTATTGCCTTCTCACGCTAAGCCAGCGATATGGAATATCTATATGGGAAAAGCAACAGTGGTAGTAGTTCGGGTCGGTTCTGTTCATTGACTAAATTCAGAAATTTATGAATGATATAAGTGTACAGAACATAATATATTTGAGGTGACATTTCATGTCCAGGGACTTTTTGAACGTAAAAAATACCACAATATTTATAATATGTGTTACATGTATTGAATTCCTTCGTGTTAGGGCGAAAGCAAAGATTTTAATTGGGGTTCCCCTTCCAAGTTTAGTTCGATGATGGAAGTTTTAAAAGTAAAAGGAAAACAGAGAGTTTTTCTGAGGGACCTCGGATGATGAACACTCATATATGTCCACTTTGCATTCGCCAAAAATGTGTATATGTCAAATTTTTTCGCTTTATATGAGGTATATTTTAAACCAAAAGTCCTCCTTCTGTGGGTGGTAATTAAAGGAGAATAACCATCCACCTACGCTACAAATATAAATAGCTTACTAATATTCGCTTCGTATGTTCTTACACATTTTCAATTTAAACGATTCAATTTCTGAACGATTATACTACGACCGTAAAGTTTATACAACCTCAACTTCTCCATTTAAGTGTTATCATTCTAACAACCAGACAAGCCAACGGATATTTCCGTATCGAAGTAAATGAAATGAAGTTTAAACATAATATACAAAAATATTTTGAATGTTGAACTTATGTCATTAATTCCTCTCTGCTAAACTCTTCCACCATTTTTTGCCATTTCTCTTCAAATTATCAAATGACACCATTGATTGCTGTCAATTGTCTGGTATGCATCTTAATTTATAACCGTTTGAGTGCAACATTTACGGTAATTGTGTGATCAACAATCGAATTACAACAACAACAAACAGTATTAATTCATTGCAACGCTCCCATAAACACGCTGTCATTCATACCCTTACTCACACACACACACACACGAACACACAAACAGTGCTTAGTAGACAGACACAAACATCGATACAAGGAGACGAATAGCCCAGCTAAATGGCCAACTAATTCAACGTGATTTTCGTGTGAAAATCTCGCGATTCGCCCCGGGGCGTAAATATTAAATACAGGCGAAAAAGACAATAAACAAACACACAAACTAGCCAGTTAGTCAGCCAGCCAGCCAACCAACCAACCAGCGAAGCATCGTGGCACAAACGAAGGGAAGCTGAGACAGAAAGCCGCGATGTTAACCACAAACAATCAACATGCAGCAGAACATCGACAAAATCTGCCGCAAATGACTGGCTGCCTGACTGACTGACTGAAACTGAAACTACAAATGACTTTAAACTGTGAATGTTTTAACATTTAAATGACCAGGATTTGGCATCGTTTATCTGTGTATGTGTGTGTGTGCTTGTGTGACATACACGGTTTGTAGGTGAATGCACAACACACATTTACAAATTGACACTGTGTTGTCTTGACCACGACAAAATTCCGCTTATGAGGACAGCAAATTTCACACACTCGCACGGACATCCGCCTCTAGACCGTGAACACTGTCGGCAGTTCTAGTTCCAATGCATGGATTCGGCAACGGGCAAATATTCGCAGTGTTGCACTCACTATCTGTGATGGCCCCAGCAGTAGCTGCAGCTAAGGCTACACCAGTTAAGCCAAATCCCACAAAACAATCCGAAAATATCGTCTAAACGTTCGACGACGGGGTTTTGGGAGGGGGATGGTGAGCGGTCAACATCGCCGGGTTATTTTTTCGCATGAGCCTGCTTTTGTTTGCAAGACAAAAACACTGTCGCCCCTTGGGGCCATATGCACGCGGCTTATATCGTCACATCGTGCCCCCTTGCTACGGTCACGTTTCCCCAGCAATTCAGCAATTGTCTTGCAATAGTTGTGTACCGTGGCGAGTTTTGCGAGAAAACCTTTATACCGCCATTAGCATTAAATTGTTTGTGTGTGAAAATAAATTTTGTGAATTTGTCTCTCTGTCGGTACATGTGTCCGACTGTATGTTTTCTGAGCTGATCTGAGCTGCGGTGACGTTAGGTAAGATGAGTATTTGAGTGTGAGTGTGAGTGTGTGCGACTGATTTTGTTACAGCTACCAACCAAATACCGAATGCAAGCAACGAATTACATCTTTTGGTGGTGGCCAAAGGAAACAGAACCTACATCTACGTTAAAAAGTCCGGAAGGTGCAATTGTTTTGTGACGCCAAAGAAGTCCTTGTCCTCTTGTCCAATCATGTGAAAATCCAAAGGAGAAACCCCCCCAATGCTGTGAGATGTAGAAATATATTTTCTAAAGAATCAATAAAATGTGAAGGGAAACAAAATTGGCATCCACACAAAGTCAAAGTGACAGACATGTTGGCAAATCCGTGCAAGGCTCTATCCATATATGTGTGAATGTATTTTCACGAGATCACGATGATTCGATTATTATTTGTTTTCAATGTATGCAATAGATTAGGACAAGATGGGCCAAATTAATATCAATTTGGGTAAATTAATTGTAAGTTAGATCAATCGATAAGAGCATAGATTTTACAGTGGTAGCGAAATATGCAACACAGTGGGTGACACATGTTCGTCTGGAGCATTAGCTCGGATGTCTCGGAAAATAGAAAACCAGCTACAGAATATACTTCATTAGGCGTTTTAACAATATAGAACCCTATTAAAACATATTTATTTGTTTTTGAATTTCGCAGAACTTGTAGAATTTGACTACGGAAAATTTTAATTTTGAAAAAATTTTCCGTAAAGTAGGAAATTACAAAACCAACATCTATATTGGGTCACTAAACTTTCTTATTCCACATCTTAACTCATGGCTCAACGGGATTGTCACAATTGCCCCATGCCTTAATTAATATTTATTTTAGCCTGTTGTGTCCAAAGGATTCACTTGGATGCAGTAAAAAAAGGTTTCCACCTCGTATAAACCAAAGTCAATGGCCACAAATATTAGGTAATTCAGTGTATTTAAATGTATGTGCAGTTTGAGTGTGTGTATGTGAGTTGTCTTAAATACATACATTTGTATAAGTATTTGTGTTTGTATGCCAAAGTAAATCGTTAAACAGTGAATAGTTTCAATTCATAGGAAGGAAGAGAGTGTCTTGACTTGGACATGGTATGACCTTTGGGCAAATTCTCACATTGAATATTTACACATACATGCAGCCTCGACATGTCCTACGCATACCAATGTCTGAG